TAAAAGGAATTGTGATATAATTAAACAATCGACTGCCTACTTTCTAACACACTGTGCTGTCTTCTAAGCTATAACATTTGTATGATTTGAACACAACTCATCAACATCACATCGACTACCTGCGGTTTACGTTTAGAACATTTTTTGTTCGTTCCATCGATTTACGATTTATTGTCGACTGTAAAAAAGCTTTAGTAGTTTCTCTCTTGTCAAATCCCTTAATTTGCTTACCAAATCACCATAAAATTCCCAACTATACTAAAAACAATGGATTTCTACATTAAAAGCTGCCTACGTTTTGCCTCATGAACCCACACGTACGATGCCGAACGGGAACACCTTTTCCTCCTTTTTTCTCTTTTTTAAATGTAGGTCCATTTACTAGTTTATTTACATGTACAAAATTCTCTTTCAAATTTTTGTAGTTTTAAGCCAAATTAATAATTTAGTGCTAAAATAAAACTTAATTTAAAAATTACCAATAGGTTGTTTTTCAGATAGGTAATGTATAATGTGTGTACGTATTCAGCCCTTTTTTAACGTCCCACAGCTGGACACGGGTCTCCCTTCCATACGAGGTTCAGGTTTCCTCACGATTTTTTCCTTCACCGTAATGCAAGTGGTAATCATGTTAGAATTGGTTCGCACATGAAAATATCAGAGGTGCGTGACCCGGGATTTGAACCTGCTTCACTCGGTCTCCTAAGCGAGCGCGTTACCACTGGGCTACCTCTGCTTTTCGCCTTTTAGATAGATTATAGGTCCAGGTAAGTTTTTTATGTTCTAGTAATGATCAAACATGCTTCTACCGATACCAACCCTAAGTTGTTAAAAATGATGAAAAAAAGTATTAAAATAACTACTCTGTGTAAATATTATAGAAAAGGCCTTTTTTCATTTTGACGTGAAAAGTCTTTAAGATCACACCGAAACATACGGGTAACCAGGTCAGAAAAATAGACCGTAACGAAATAAGTGGTATACGAAATAGGTTGCCATAGTAACCTTTGTTATTGTCTAAAAAATGATAGAAAATATTATATTCTTTCCGTTGCTATCTTCAAAGATTACTATGTTTATTAGTTTGTTTTCTAATAAGCAAATATTTATAATAAATAAAAACACTAAAAGCGACTCACTGAAATAAACGTTTCACAACGAAGGGCGGTGTGCACCGGCACGGCCCCACCCGATTTTTTTGTCGCTACGTCTCCCATTACAAAAATGCTAATCCTGCTATTTTTCATATATGCATGTAAATAAAAGTAGGAATATCTGGAACCACAGCAGTCTTTTCCGCATTTCATAACAATTTTCTCTGCAACTAACTAATCTGTACTCATTTTTAATTTCGTCATCATAAACCAAATAGTTACCTACAGAGCAAATTGGTTTTTTGATAGTTTATATACTGCTGTTGATGCTGTGTCTCTTTCATAGTATTTATTATTTTGTTGGCATATTTCAGTACTATTTTTATCGAATTTTAAGACTAGTCCACTTTTCGCAATATTATTTTTACTATGCGATGAGATTTGTCAATGCCGTGTTTTCCTTATAATATTTGTATAATACATATTAATCGAGAGCATAACCAAATCGCTTTTAGTAAAGTAACTATAAAGTGGCTTTAAACTACTACAGCCGCCTTCGCTAAAACTCACAAAAAAGAAGAAAAAATACCGTAACTTTAAATAAAATCAATATGTCAAATTTAATATTCACAATGTTTTTTATCTGAATTTTCGTTATTCATTCACGTCAGAACCATCCAAGGGGTTAGTGTTCATTGGGTGGAAATAACAAAGACGATAAAATTGTTCGTTCGGAAAAAAGGATATTGAAAGAGGTCAGACCCTGATATATTCGTATTGAAGCCGAACGTCAAGGCGTGTTCGAGACAGCCGTTGTTCAGGTCTTAGTTATCAATGAGCCCCCTCGTTAAGACTGTCAACGGCTTACGATTCTGTAAAACGTTTCACCCATCTACTTTATTGACTAAAGTACAGTTTTACTACGTGACATATGAGTATAAATTTTGATAATATAATCCATACTAATATATAAATTATAAATGCGAAAATAACTCTGTCTGTGTGTTTGTCTGTCTGTTACGTTTTCACGCTTAATCCGCTGAACCAATTTAGACGAAATTTGGTATGCAAATAGTTTGAGACCCTGGGAATGACGTAGGATAGTTTTTATCCCGGAAATTATGCTTTAAGGGGGTGAAAAGGGGGTGGAACTTTGTATGGGGAATCAATCATTTCTCAAGTAAGGGATATAAAAATCATCATACCTATGTATTTCTTTATATACATACTCGTAGGTAAACTAAATAGTCTATGTATTCCATACTAACCGTCATAAGGTATCTTGGAACGAATCTGAGCGAAGCGAGGGTGAGTCGCTAGTAATTAATAAATATATGTAAATATACAGATATTTCCTTAAAATAAATATAGTAGAGGTTAATTCTCTAGGCACTTAGCTAATGTTCTTTAATTTACGAAAATAGGGTACTATTGTAAGATAAGATATTCATGAATCAAACAAAACTGATAATAAAGTCAAAAGAATGAAATTTATAGGTTTAATATAATAGAATTGTGATCGTTAATCTAGACAAAGACTTACATGCAAGGCTGGCCACGTGCCTAAAAGTTGGGTTAACTTATAGTTATGGCGTTAGGTTGATGTGGTTAAAAGAAATGTACGAGGTTAAAAGAAATGTCGAATTGAACTATTTCAAATGTGTATAAATAAGTATAGAAATTGAGTAATCCATAAAATAACGTGTTATACGACATCAGAGTACCTATGTTTATTAATTCAACAAAATTTGAATGTCTAAAGCACACTTTTATAAAGTAAAATACAATAATATTAAGCCTTAACCTTGTAGCAATTTAATAAATAAAAATTATGTGCGAGTTCAAAAGTTTTTCCACTTTTAGATGTGGACTTTGATCTTGTAGATAATGTAGAGTCATTCTTGTAGTAACATACATGTTCATATAATAAGAATTATTAAAACTAGTTTATAATAAGATATGTATAACAAACACAGCAAGATATACATTCAAGTGCAAGCCATCTTTAATTTAAAGTCGTTAAACTTGACAATATTTCTGTTGCTTCAAAATAAATTAAAATAGGATAGTATTTCGTTTCTTATAGTTTATACTTATACTAACTAGTATTAAATTTTTGAAATGTTTCTGAAATTATAGTAAGTTTGTTTAAAAATTAGGTTCATAATTTTGTTCAAAGTGGCAAATAATACACGTGTATCATTTTGATATTGTACTTAGGTTAGGTTCTTAATAGTAGGTTTACGAAATGATTGAAATCTTTAAATGAAAAAATACAAAATATACATTATGTCTATATTATTTACATACATACAATAATAAACAAAGTAAAACCTATACGCGTGACATATTTTTTAAAGACAATTTCTGTTATGTATTGTGTACAAAATATAACAATTACAAACAATAGTTATTAAAATATTTGTTTGTTGTCTATATGTCCATTTGTTTGTTTATCTGTATACCTGTGTGCATTTCATGGAAAAATTACTAAACCGATTTCAACTTATTTTTGTGTAGTGATAACTAATTACTCGGGTCAAATCGGGGAAAATCTTTTATTCTCATGGGAAAACACAATAACTGGTTCTGTCAGGTCTTCCTTAGAAATTTACACGTTACATGGCTAACACTAGCTAGCTAAATCTTAAGAGATACGTCTAAACAATGCATTAGAAAATTGTAGGTGTTAAAAAGGCCTACAGAGAAGTCCGCAATAGCATATGTACTATATATACATATGTCCCAAGGTACACTCGCGATAACATATAAATCGCGAAGCGAGTACATATAAATCGCTACTTATTTAATAAATTAATTGGTGTACTTATAAGCTTAATTGGTGATTAGGCTTAATTGGTGGGAAAGCTGGCCGAGTGCCGACACACTTTACTCGTATTTTTAGCTTCAAAAATGATAAGCTTTCATACAAATTGATTTCCTATTTAATCCCTAAGTATCTTATTTTTAAAAATCCTAGCTCAGTATTCACCAACGTCATGAAAGGTATCAGTAGTAAGTAATCAGTTTTAAGATTTTACGAGAATTATAATATTTTAATTGAAATATTTATTAGTAGCTTAATGTTATTTTTTATTTTTTTAAATAGAAGGTATCTTAAAACAATAAGTCTAATTATTTATTTAATTTTCTAAAAAAAAACAAATTATAGTTTACTAAAATAATGAGAGTTTATAGAGTTACATTAGTTTTGTGTATATACAAAATAAATGTGTTTTATACCAATACAAAATAATTAAAGATTTTGTGGCTTATCAGAATTATCATGAATCGCACAAATTTCAATTTAGCTTAATTTATGTTTGATTGTACTTTAATTATTTTCAGTACATTTAAATCCTATCGAAATTTAAACAAACAATTAAACTTTAAGCTATTCGAGATAATGTACAAATTTTCAGTAGAGTCTGCTTCATCAAACATTTGTTCATTTAAATGTGTTGTTATTCTATCAATTAAGGATATATTAGTGTGATATTTAGTAATCATTGTGAGTAGAAGTTGTTGTTATTATTATATTAATAGACTGCTTAATTCCTCCACGACCGCGGACACGCCGGCGTTACAGTTAACAATAGATTTCTTAGAAATTTAATTATTTTTTTAGAAATTTACCTGGAGGTGTTAAATAATGGACAAGTAATTAAGTAACAATTATTAAATTATTTAAATTTTTGTGTATTGCATTCATTAAAACATTATAATGATCTCTAATATACGTTCAATTATCTTTTTTGGATCAATTAATTAATTACTCCAATATAAAAGCTCAACATTTTATAAAAAAATTACATTCGCATTTAACCCTTTCATGTGGATTATGTCAGTATAATTTTAACATTAATTTATTCATTAAAAACGTAAGGAGATTTTGTTTTTGAAAACATGAATAAAAACTCACAACTGAAGTCTAATACTGTTTATAAATGTGGTCGTTGCGCTATGTTTTACTATGAGTATAAGCAGTTAGTGGCGCATTTGTATTGGCGGCACGGGACTGAAAGTCTTTGGTGTAAGAAATGCGGCCTGAAGCGATGGGAATATGCAGCGCATTTATGTAATGTATTACCCACTGATGGCACCATAGAGGACAGTGAAGTAAACCCTTTGTATTGCTTTTGTGGCAAAGTTGAAGATGCGCCAATGATTGGGTGTGATTCACCAGATTGCGTTTTAGAATGGTACCATTTTAAGTGTGTCGGTATAGTCGAGCCGCCTGATGGTAGTTGGTTTTGTCCAGAATGTCGAAAGCTATAAGCATTCAATAAGGTACTAACTACATAAATATGAAGCGTTTTATTTAGAAACTTTAACGTAATATTTTTTTGTGATCGCAAATGAAATATGCTTTGATCTTTACAGGACAAATCTCGGGACAGTGTGCAAATATAATATATCGATTGAAGCTTCCGAATAGCGTTGTTGCTTCCAGTGGAGAAAGTGAAATTATATAAAAGTATAAAAAAAATGTTCATTTGTAAGTGTAAATAAATGTTAAACAAGTATTATTTTTAATATTGAGATAATTTTAATTAAAATTAAAAAAGAAATGATTAGAATATTTCAACAGTTCTTTTATAAAAACAACTAGTTATTACCACATAGTAAGCTTACTGACGAAAGTCCTATGAATATGCCAATGAGAAAGAGATCCTCCTTTCGAATTTCACTGAAATCGTCTGAGTTGTTTATTTGTTTTGTGCAGAAAAAAAAAAATAGATTCACTCTTTTAGTAAATGACTATTCCCAACCGGGACATGTGGCTAAAAAACCAAGAGTCTCACAAAAAGGGCAGTCATGTTTGGTTCACAGATGGATCCAAGAAAGGATCTGATGTAGGGTGCGGTATCTATGGCCTTAAGCCTAGATTTGACATGAGTGTCAATCTGGGCAAGGAGGCCACCATCTTCCAAGCCGAGGTCTTCGCCATCAACAAATGTGCTGAAGTCATCCTGGAGAGGAAGCTTAGAAACCAAAATATCTACATCAACTCAGATAGCCAAGCAGCACTTCTGGCTATAGATTCTCTTGAGACCAACTCTAAGTTGGTCAAAGACTGTATGGAAAATCTGAATGTCCTGGGCACATCCAACAGAGTTACCCTCAGATGGGTCCCGGGTCACTCAGGCATAGATGGGAATGAAAAGGCTGATGCACTGGCAAGAAGGGGTGCTGTAACCCCAGTATGTGGCCCAGAACCATTTTGTGGTATTGCAAAACAACATGCCTATTCAATTCTCAAAATTCACTGCAATCGCCAAGCACTTCAAGAGTGGCAATCCACTTCTGGACAAAAACACTCTAAAGCGCTAATTAAGGGATATCGCAGAAAGTTTACAAAAGAGTTGCTTCAACTCAACAAGTATAAAACCAGTGCAGTAACCAGAATACTTACTGGTCACTGCAAACTCAATAAACATATGTTTACCCTCGGCCTCAGTCAGACCGCAATGTGCAGACTATGCCATGAGACAGAGGAAACTGCTATGCACATCCTCTGCTCGTGCGGTCCACTCATGCACCGCAGAAGTATCTACCTAGGGCAGCATATTATGCAACCGGAAGAGATACAGATGCTCCCCGCTCAGAAAATCTGGAAGTTCCTGGAGTCAACAGGACTAAGCGGAGAACTTTGAACTAACTATAAAGGGAGCTACAATGGACCAAAACTGGTCGACGTAGCTAGGGCCGACCTCGGCACCACACCCAACACAATAATAATAATAATAGTAAATGACTATAATATTATTAGTAATTATATACATAATATTTATATATCATTATTGTAGATATTATATATAAATATTATATTAGAGATAACAAAGCGCTTTAGATACTTATTTATTTGTACAATTTAGTTTATGTATTTTAATCTTATTTTTACTTTACGTGTGTATAAAATAGATAATTAAGGTAAATAACGGAGTAAGCGGCGTAGTAGTGGTAGTAGTGGTATCGTTATTTATTATATATTAAAATTAAGAAAGCAATGCTGAGGTTTTCTTGCATATTCTTATTAACAGATGTAAATAGGTTAAGGTAAATTTATTTAATCCAAGAATAATTAATATAAATATATTTTTGTTTTAATTCCTATGTTATTAACCTACGTTTGTTTATCTTCTAAAAATTAAATAGTTTTTCAATTTGAGTAACACGCAATTTAAATTAATAAGCATTCAGAAATTAATGTAATATCAGTTCATACACATTATTAATAATATTAGAATAGAATTTGTTTTCAATGGGCTGTAACGTGTTGTCCAAAATCAGTATTTAGAATTTAATTTCAATTAAATAGAGTGCAAGTAATTAATATAAAATAACAGATTAAGTATTGTTTGTTAATGTTAAATACAAAAACATAAATTTAATATTTGAAATAAAATAAAAAATCAGTAGACGTGTTTGGGCTGAAAAACGTGTTTAAGAAAAAAGAATACGTATAATAGTCATATAATGTTATATATGTAACTAGCATTGCCCGCAGCTCCGTCCGCGTCGAGATGACCAACAACCAAATTCTTAGGTTTTACATATTAGTATACTCTTACAATCCAGTTTTTGTATTTTTTCTCAGAAATGAGATATTTTCCCGCAGTAAAAAGTATCCTATATGTTGACCCGGATAAACAGATATCATCATACCAAATTTCATCAAAATCTGTCCAGTGGTTTTCTCGTGATGCGGTAACAGACCGACAGACAGACAAAAATTCTAAAAACTATAGATTCGGCCTCTGTATCTATAATAATGTCTATTTCAATTAGATTTTCCAAAAAATATTTAATATACTAATTCCAAGTTTATTATATGTATAGATTTTGAGTTTCTTTTAAATATTTATAGTTTTTTTTAATATTTATTTTAGGTTGTAACTTGTATGTATAAACATAAAATTTCATTTTAAACAGTTTTAATATACAGCGTAAAATCCGTACTCTCCAATTTATGTAGACAAATGTAAAATAGATTGAGAAAAAATATTTTTGCAATATTAGCTTCAAAAGCTAAAAAGAACAATATTTTTTCGATATTTATTTATGTATTTATCCGTATTAGATTTTAAAGTCTATACTTATAAAGTATGTTAGATATTTTTGTACTAGAAACCTCACATGGAAGCAAAGGCAGGCCACAGCGACCTGAACATTTACTATAGCGGCCTTTCATCGTAATGAAAGCTGTACTTCATGCCCTAATGCGATGTTAACGAGCTCACTACAGTTCAATATGCTATAAGTGTAACACGAAGGAAACTCTTTGAGATAACACCTGTCGCAATTTATTTTACTGAAAATCTTAAGTCTAGCTTTTAAAATTAATTTTAACAGATAATAACTTTATAATATAAACTTACATTAAATAGCCTAACCATATTTTTTATGAGATACTATACATATAACTGATTAGTAGAACCTGCGGCTTCGCTCGCGTTTAAACTGCAAAAAAACTATTTCTTTGGCTTTAAGTTATGGCACGCCCTGGCCCACCATGGCATGCCACCATGGCGTGTAGGTTTTTCGAACTGTGATACACATGTCTCATAATTTTAATTGAAGAGAACATATTTGTACCAATTTTGGAGTTCGACAGTTTTTCAATTGATCCAGACAATAAAAAGTTTCACATAAAATTTACCCCCCCCCCCATTTCACCCCCTTCGGGGTGAAACTTCAAAAATCCCAGTTTAAGTGGATATGGACACTTCAAAATAACACACCCTCCAAATGTCATGTCTCTAGGACCAGCGATATAGGCTGTGCGTTGATATATCGGCCAGTTTGTCAAGACTTTGAATTATTATAGACTAGCGACTCACTCTCGCTTCGCTCGGGTTCATCCCTAGCTTCCCAATACAAACTTTCATCCCCGTTTTCACTCCTTTAAGGGATGATTTCCGGGATAAATTTAAAAGTATCCTTTTTCCTTCCCAGAGTCTCAAACTATCTTCTAACCAAATATCATCTAAATGGGTTTAGTAGATTCAGAGGCTACCCCTACAACGTCACAAACCCACAAGGTGTATAGACCTCTTCATAATATTAGTATTGTTAAATAAATACTCAATTACTCAAGAATAAACATAGTTTTGTTTTATATTCTAGGAAATTTATATTGTTATCGATAACTGTAAGTAATAACAATATTACTATTATATTATACAACAATACTAGTAATATTAAGAAATAAAAAATAAATCAGGCTGAAAGAAATCTATATAAATGTAGTTAGAGGTACTTTTGTAGTTGATAAAGTAGGAATTAAAATTTCAATTGAATCTATTTATTACTAAGGTTATTATTTATTAGCAAATCAAAAGCGGTTTTTCCTTATAGAGTTAAAATTACTTCATAGTTTTGTCGGGATTAGAAATGCTAAATAGGTTTAAAATATTTTATTGATGTTCGTGTTCACTATACAGTTATAAATAGGTATATCGTGATATCACATATAGTCACGCGAATCGGTAAATGGCTTCGGATACATGTGTCGTTGTCACTACTTTTGGTTGGAATTAAGATAATTCATAGAATAAGAAGGTCAGTGGTAGCCCAGTGGTAACGCGCTCGCTTGGGAAACCGAGTGAACCGAGTTCAAATCCCGGGTCTCGCACCTCTGATATTTTCATGTGCGAATCATTTCCAACATGATTACCACTTGTCTTAATGGTAAAGGAAAACATCGTGAGGAAACCTGCATGTCTGAGAGAACCTAGCAAGTTTTCAAAAGACATGTGAAGTCCGCCAACCCGCACTTGGCCAGCGTGGTGGACTACGGCCTGATCCCCCTCGCATTGAAGGGAGGCCCGTGCCCAGCAGTGGGACGTTAAAAAGGGCTGAATACATACATACATAGAATAAGAAACCCAATAAAATTTATATAAGGTTTTTTATAGTAATTTATAAATATTCAGAGAAAGGTTAAGGAGTCTAAAATGTTTATGTATTTATTTATAGTACAAACGAAGTTGTAAAAAACATGTGTTAGTATATTCTTTGTACGCACGTAAGAAGTTATACTGCTTTGGTTTAACAGAACAAAAATAGCTAAAGTTTCATCCCGATGTCACAACTCTCTGTTTGTAGAAGGAATGATAAATTAATAAAAATAAATATATTTTTTTATCTCAACTGATATAAAACACATGTTATAGATTTATGAATAATTGAGAAGCTACTTTGAATATAGTTATGAGTTCTCACGAGAACTGGAGAGACAGTTATCAGCTGACTTCATCATGATTTTTGCT